ATATATATATTATGGTAAAATACCTAAATAGAGGAATGCTGTGTTGGTACAGCCAGTGATTGAAGGTCTAATTCCTCTAATACATTCATCAATGTCTGCAGTCCTTTTTCATCAGTGTCTTCAAGCTCTAACACAGGGCGTTTTGTCAGGTTTAGTCATCAGACTGAGGCCTAATCAATCTATGCAGAACATCTGACTCTATTCTGACCTGTCATGTAAAAAATCCTGCTAGCATCATCTTTTTAGCAGTTCAGTAAGTGATGGTGACACAGTGGAAGGAATATTCAAGTTTTATGAGAGACCTCATTAGAAATTGTTTAAAATATATATTTCACTCAAATTAATGTGTTTGATCATTTTTTAATAGTTGCCATGGATTATTGCTGCATTGTTAGAGTAGATGCACTATTCAAATGGAACATTCTGTGTTTTTTTTTTCCTTTTGTTTTTTTCTTGTATGCAGCTAAACATTTATTGTTGTTTCGGGTGGGTGTAGATGGGTGGATGTGAGTGTGGGAGGCATCTGTTTCTCTGATTTCATTATTAAACCACACTGTTTTTACAAGGCACAACTAAGAGCCACATAAGGGAAAAGGAGAAAAAAAAGGCAAAAAATGTGTAAAACTGTAACTGTAAACTTTGTGATATTAGGAAACATATGTCCAAGATTATATAAAACTGTATCACAGTGTTATTTTTTTGTTTGATCCCACTAAACTGCAGATAATATACTCCAAGTTTTTCATAACCTTTCTGTCTTTTGTTTTTTAGTCCTATTAAGTCATGTGCAACTAACTTTAAGATTCCTTTTTTTCAAACTTTTGTCAGTTATAGATAAAATATTATGTTTTTTTTACAATAACAAAAGCAAATGCACTTTAAAAAAATGAATGAGAAATAGTTTTAATATCTAGAAGCCTCTTTTAGTGAGGCAGATTGATTTAGATGGGTTTTCCCCCTAAGACAAGTCACTTGCGTTATTCGAAAGTGGCAAAAAAGAAAAACCTGTTGCATGCCCAGCAGTTGTTTTATTATGAATATTTAATTTCCAAGAAAACAAAAGACTTGCAGAAGCTGTTTTTTTATTTATTTATTTATTTTTTACAGAAAGCTAGTGCCCTCTGCTCTGCAGATCTCCACTTTGTCTCCAGGACTTTAAATATTCATCAGTACCACAGATGACATTGTTATTTTGTACATCTTTAGAGCAGCCTTGCGTTCTTTGCTTCAAAACAATAGAACAGATGACCCGTCATGCATAGGAAATTAGGCTTTCAGACTTTAAACTCAACTGATTCAGCTATTTAGTGCTATGCATTTGTGATATCTCTAGCTGGGAGAAGAGAGAGGCATCATGAATACTGCATTGTTAGCATACTCTAAAGAGTTTCCCAAAGTTTAAAAGAGTTTTCAAGACTGAAAGTTTGACCCCATTTTGGACTAAGCTGGTAATAACTCAACTGAAAATACCAAAGTGCCACAACAGTCATGGACTTTCAAACACTACTACAACAGAACCAAAGGGTTATTTCATTAAACAGTTCAGCAAGATAGACGCACAGACCTGCCTACCTTTATGCTCACTTTGACCGTTTAAAAATCACTGATGAAGCTGACCACATCCCGCACAGATGTGAGTTTTCAGAAATGAAGCAAATACTTCAAGAACCAGAAGAAGTGTGGAGCAGAACTCAGCTGTGTTCACATAGTGTGCAAGCATTAAATGTGTAATGGGCCTCTCCCTCAGATCCTTTTCAAMACGTGATGAAATAATTCAGTATAGCAATTGTCTTTGTGGCTATTAATTTATTTATTTTTAACTGAATGCAAAGCTGCTAGGCATCATTATTAATCCTCACTCAATAATAAATATGTCGGCTGTTGCTTAAAGAAGACGTTTCATGCTTTTAAATCCTCCTTTTGGTCACAAATCATTCAGTTGTAATCTATGAAAAGTGGAACTGTTATGCTTTGGTTTGAATTCCTACTTATTGCAACTTAAGCCCCTCTTTCACCCCTTTTCTGAGGTGTGCCTCAGATTACTTACTTTGAGGCTGTCTCTTTAAATACAAACAAGGCATTTCAAACCCAGCCCCCTGCATCTTTTAGAGCAGTCCATTCTAGTTTGAGGGGTTAATGACTATCCTGCGGCAAATAATTTTGTTTAGTTACAAATTAATTAAAATATATCAACAAGGGAAGACTTGTCCATCCATCCTTACATGTTAGGGTCAGATTCTGACCCAGAGTGAGAGGAGAATGAAGACAACAGAATTGTAGTTGGTAAGTCCATACCTTATTTGGCAGTTCCGAAACAAATCAGAATCAGAAAATGTCACAGAAAATAGAGAAAACAAAATGGAATGAAAAATATGACACAAACAGAGCTTAAAGATATCTACGCAGCACCGTGAGAGACTAAATTTAAATTGTCTGCACTCCCAGAGACTCAAAGTACACAACCAAATTCATTGAATGACTAAAAATGTGGATTTTGCATGATACATCTTCTTTGATATCAAGACTAGCGGTGGTGGGCAGTGCTAATCCAAAAATTAGCTCCGCAATTTCTAAAGCGCTTATGAAAATATTTAGGTCTGCAACTTCAAAAGCACTTATGCCATAAAAAAAAAAAAAAAAAAAAAACTAGCGGAAGCTAATTTTAAAGCACAAGTTCAATTTGACACTTACTAGCTGGCAATAATTCATGTACAACATATGCACAACACTGCCAACTAGCAGTGTATGAACTCTTTTACAGCTTAATTCTACAACCACTGATTGCTGGGGATGTGATTTCCTGAAACAGACTTTTGGCTTCTGGTGTAAAAATTTAAAAGTTGTTGAGGATTGCTAGTTCAGCTGCTTCTTTGTCTTTTTCTTTTGTTTGTTGTAGGTTTTCCATTAAAGAAGTTTCAATAAAGTAATTTTAAAACTGTTTATTGGAAAACTGAATCGATACATTCTGGGTACATGATGGATTTGATTTGTGACGGGAAACGAAAGCACAGAGTACAGGAAACTATATTCACTTTTTTTTAAAAGGAGCTCCGTTTGTAAAGTAAAATAAATCAATACATACAAATTTTTAGTATGGATTACAAACGTTAACTGATTTTGATATTGCCTTCCTGCTACGTAAGCAGACACAAAGCATTGTGGGAAATCAGAACTGTGACCGAATGCAACAGTTAGCAAGGATGTATACCGTCCCAATAAGTGCATTTGGTGGATAGACCACGTGTTGTGATTCATTGACAGCCATACCTTCCGCTGCTCAAGATAGTGATGACTGGTAGATGATTAGTTATTAGCAGTACTGCATTTTAATTTTAGAAAGTGCAAATCTGCTTATGAATTATAAAAATTAGTAAGACCGCTAAAGCGTGAAAGAAATATATAAGTCCACAATTAGCGGATCTGCACTTTAGCGGGCTAGTGCCCACCACTGAAGATTGGTATTACACATTATATACATCATCACTTGAGCTGCTGCACTAGCTTACCTTTTCACATGCTGATTGTTTCAAATCTGATATGTTTTAAGGCACACATGTGTGTCAGGTGGGGATTAGTTTTGACCATCCCTGTCTCAGTCCGCTCAGAAATCACACTGATGAAGCTAAAAGGTATTTAAGTCCTGGCTTGAGGTTTCTTGTGAATCAGTGACTGTGGATAATAAAGGGGGAAAAAGGACCATTTTTGTGAAATCACTGTCTGTTGCTGAAATCGAGGCAAWTATCATCACAACTCTTCAAAGCAGGAGATATGTGTAATTAATTTTCATATCTACAGTGGTCAGTAGTGTAGACTTAGTGTAATGCAGACTCTTTAGATCAATGAATTCCTTCACAGCTTTTGATGAGCATCCTTTTAATTAGCTGGATCAATAACAAATAGTAGAAGAAAAAAATAGATCTTGTTAAATCTGTTTATGCAATTTTTTCCCATATTTTATCTTGGTTCAAATGATTGATAAAGCTGATGGAGGTTCATGTTTTGCTGAAGGAAACATCTCTTATTTGGTTTTATTCTGTAATTTTCTCATAATAGCACAGTGTTTTTGGAAACTGAGGCAAACTAAAAGCAAAACATATGTGTCAGGAGCACACAAAGTCCCCCTCCTAAAAAGAAAAGAAAAGTGCTTTGCCTCAAGGAAAAATTACACACCGTTGATCTTTTGAACTCTTGAAGTAGGTTTGGCTGCAATTTTTATCAAAGAGACTCACCGTAAAGTTGTTCGACACATTCATGTTCACATCAAGGCTGCATCCAACACGGAGTTAGTAAGCGGACAAATCAAATCTGAAATCAAAAACTTGTGCTTGTTTCTTTTTTCTTTTCTTTTTTTATTTTCACTGAAGTAGTTTAGCTATTATTCTCGTTAGTCAAAAAAGACTAAAGGGGCTGAACAAGCTCCAGCCTGTTTCTGTTAATGACTGAGTCAAGTCCACTTTCAGGTTCTGAAGAGCAGCAAACAAGCATGATAAATATTCATGTGTGATTGTCTTTCAAGATCAAATAGTTTGCCACAAGAAGAAAGAAAAAATGAAAAACTTCCAGGATGTTTGTGCTGTGACGCTGCTCTTAGGAAAAGTCCAAACTTAATCTCATGAGAAATTATGAATCTGCTCTGAAAATGTGCCCATGGGCAAATGCATCAAATTCACAACCTGTGACCTCCTGGTGGAGAGGAATAAAATATTACCTTCTCCTGATGGAATTCCATCAACGATTGTAAAATTATTAATGAAAAATGGCCTTTTTCAGATCAAACAGCATGGAATGATGAATGGTGCTGTCACCGGCATGTGGTTTGGTTTCAGATCTTACCCCCTTTTTAATTTTTTTTTTTTCGTATTTGCATTCAGAGCAGCTTGGTGAGACCACAGTTGCTTTTCCGTGAGAAGACTAGACCTGCTGCTATCAAACACCAAACCAAGATTTTATGTCTGTATTGTTCATTGGCCGTGAGAGATTGATACGCTTTCAACAGTGTATAAAATTCATTTATGTTCCCAAGAAAACCATTAGCTCAGCATGGCCAAATGTCTGCTCCATTACTAGATTGGAATGTATGTGCAATCCTCAGCACATTTTCTAGAAATGACCATTCAGAATGAGTAATGAAGACTACTGCAACATCACATTACACCTAATTCATATACGAGGCCAGAGGGAGAATCATTGTACTTTAATCTGTTGCTTTATGTTGGAAATAAATGCGTTTAAATAAACATTTTCTTTTAGATATTCCATTGACTGGAAGAGTGACTTGGACAGCTACTTTGACATTGATCCAGTGGAAGGGACGATTTCCACAAACGAGCTGCTCGACAGAGAGAGCGTCGCCCAACACAATATCTCCATCGTGGCAACCAAACTTAGTAAGTATGACAATGAGATCAATTGTGATTCATAAACGTGTCGTTGACCTTCCTCCACCATAATCTATGTGAAGGATTTAACACACTTTCACTCAAGTCAATACTCAATCCTATTTTCCTGGAATGGTTTATAGGTGACTATAAACTATGATGACTCTTCTGGAGGGCTGTATCTTCAGGACATCATCTCCTCCCGCATCCTCGCCTCAATACTGTTTTCATTTTTAACGGCCTTCTTTTTACACTCTTGATGACATTGGCATTGGGAGAAAGCTTTTCTTCCTCAAGTCRACTTTTACTTACACCTCAGTAAAAATGTGACTGTTTGACAGTTTTACAGCAAGCAGATGCAGCCTGCATGGGAGCCAAGTTCGAGCAAGATGGGACCATTGCTGTGGCTTTAAGACGTGTCATCAAGCTAATTATGTTTATTATGAAGGAACTAGAGCAAATTTCCGCATAAATAAGCAAATCTATCGTCATCAACTCATCAAATCTGCTAAGAACCGTCAAAGTCATTATCCCAAGGCAGGCTGGCGCTCAATCAAAATTACACACGCTGTGTATTCATTAGGACAGACTGTGAAATATGGCCCGTTAAAACTTGAATCATAGTCGCCTTGGAAACTGATATTACTTACTTCCCCTCAAGGTCATATCAGTGACATTCTAATTGTGTTTTCAGTATGTGTGTGTGCTTCTTTGTGTGGCTTTATACATTAAGCGCCACAAAATTAGAAGACGAGGCAGACTGAAAAGCATACAGCGTGGATGAAGGAGGAGCAGGAACCAGATGGGACTTTTATAAGGCCGTTGCATGTTCAGTCTGTCATACTTAATGATGGAATGAGAGAGTATTTCTCCTCATTTTACCGCTTGCACACCTGCTTTTTTATGCCGGTCTTCTCATCTCCTGTTTGCCTTTTTCTGGGTACTCTCTCAGCAGACTGTTTTTGACAATTTTGCCCCTTCATCGATAGAAAAAAGAAGAAGACAAATACAGTTTCATAATCAGTGTTTAAAACTAATTGCCAGACTTGTGCAGAAGGAATAGAGATAAAGAAAACAGTTCTAGTTTGAGGCTGGTCTTGAGTTCAAATGTGTCTCTGACCTTGAGTTAGTTTTGGCAGAACTTTACGCTCTGGGTATTGAATGGTTATTATGGCTCCTCTGTGCTGTGCTCTATTGTCATCAGTGGGATTGTGTCTGTCTATTATTTGAGTTTTAAACCATGAAGAGCAACAATGACCGCTGAAGCGAAGATACCTTCAGTGTTGATACAAATAATGCAGTTGCAGAGGAGAGGTCATGCAGCAATATTAGGAATTATTAAACCATCAAGCAAACAAGTATGCCATGTATATTTCTGTGTACAATTTAAATATGTTGCTTTATCAGAATTATGTTCCTGTCATGTATTTGTCAGTATACTTTTTTCAGGGATTGGCCAAATGGCTTTCAAGGACTACAGAAACTTGTTTTGGGTCAAGGATGCATGGTTTTATCATRTCCTAGATTTTATTGTAATGTTTAATTTCTAATGATGCCTTCCAGTAGCAATGGGAAGTGGAAAGTTCCTTGCTCCCATTTGTAAATTTAAACTGGATTGCCCCCTCCAGTGAATCCCCCTCTACATAAATCCTATTCCAATAGTGGGAGTGACTGTGACTACCCCCAGTTTTGATTTCAAGATGGGGGCTACTCGCAGCTTTATAAAGTTAACTCCATTACTTTTACTGTCAATTATTGTTCTTAATGTTTTTGTGCATGTTTAATCACTCAGACAAGCAGTGTTTATTTGTGCATATTGCATGTATTAAAATCAAAGTTTATTTGTGTAGGGATATGCTGTTTGTCGATGTTATGGACAATGCTAGATCATAAATACCTCGTAATTATTAGCATAACAATGGGGCACCACCTGAATTTTCAGGAAAATAATTCATAGATTTTAAATCAGTCTCAGATACTGAGTTGTGAATTCTATCATTTTCAAGAACGAAACCCAATAAATGATGCACAGACAATGAAATTTCATAATATAACCTATATTAAATGATTCAGAGATGACAATACACAGATCATTTGGGCAGACAGAAGAACAATTATCATCAAGCCTTGAGTTTAATAATAAACGTTAAAGTCGTTCCATAATGAACTCTAGCATCCTCCTAACTGAAACACTTAAATAATCTACACTAACAAAAATTAGAAACTTAAGAGTTAATAAAGAAATTGTTAATTCATCTTTATAAGAGGGGGCATGACTCATGCATGAATTAAGCTCGCCAAACCTTCCTTATTACCAACTTAACGATCCAGAAGTTTCACCACCTCAAATGAGCCACCACCGGATAACAGAGAAAGGACATCTGTCCTACCATTCAGATGTTTATAGTTGTCCCAGGGTACCAGGGCGTGATTGAAGCCGTGCCAGCGGTGTCGCTGGTTTCAGAGCGGTCCCTTTGTGGGTACAAACTGACACCTCGGAGCGACTGGGTTCAGCTCCAAGCTGGAATCAGGTGCTTCCTTCTGGTCACTTGTTGATTGAAAAAGATTCTAACCAAGCTCGCTTCCTGCATGAATCCAGTCCCTCGTTATAAAGAAAAATCAACAACTTTGAAGTTACAAAATAAAATAAAATAAAATGAAAATAAAAATAAAATAAAATGGTTCCCTAAGGGAAAATGAAGCTAAGCTTTCACGCTGCTTCTTCCTTCATCTTCAACATTCAGACCGACTGACTGACTTGCTGCTGAAACTAAATTTCTATTGTTCAGACTCTGAAACTCATGATTGGTTGAAGGATGATCACATGACTTATCTGCTTACACAGTTTGTCCTCACTTCTGAAATTGATTACAAACACACACAGGAATAAGATTGCTTGTGAAGTGATAGTGCATTGCTTCACATGATTGAGTCACGTAGACATACAATAATTCATGTTTTTTTTTTATATCARAATGAGAAATACAGGAAAACATACATCCGTGGTGTAATTATAAAACCAGTCTTTTGGGGACGCTGTAATACCGTAAATGAGGTGGTATGTAAACGATTGTTTTGAAGCTTGATCTGAGTGTTATATATCACCAGGGGGTCTGGCTTAAAAGACTTTTTCTCACTAGCAGACCCATTCTGCCAGACTTTGTGTCTGCGAAGATCTTTTGAGTTCTGTATGATAAGCGGCCATTTTGAGTACATCAAAGAGTTCTCACCGTACTCAAACAACAGAAGGTCTGTTGCATCCTGTTGTTATCTTACCACTCGTAGATAATAAACAAAGGTTTTTGAGGTAAATGAATAAGTCATTGTTCTCTTGTAGATATGGGCAGAGTCATGTGATGGCCAGAGCTTGGAGTATTGACATTCCAATCCAAGTTATTGCTACATATCCCCCCTTTGCAAATCACAACCTTGTCCACGGTTGTGAATTGCACACCTCAGCATAACTTGAAGAACCAGTTACACAGTCAGGGTGATAGATCTTGATGTATTTCCATAGCGTTTGTCCAGAAAAGGGTCAAAGGTAATCCAAACAGGAACGGGAAACACATCCAAACCGGAACGGGAAACATATCCAAACAGGAATGGGAAGCACATCCAAACAGGAACCATGAAGGTCAGGGGCGTCCAGATGGAGAGGTAGATCATCTCCTACGTCAGGCGTTGAGGTAGATCTCTGAAGAATGGAGTCGAGAGGGTCCATCTCTGGTCGGATGAGGCTGCTCTCGGATGAGTGGAGTCAAGGAGG